GACTTTGAGGACAGACTTCAAAATCAAACATTTTACTGACTTCTGACTTTGAGGAAAGACTTCAATATCCAACATTTTACTGACTTCTGACTTTGAGGACAGAATCAATACCAAACATTTTACTGACTTCTGACTTTGAGGAAAGACTTGAATATCCAACATTTTACTGACTTCTGACTTTGAGGACAGACTTCAATATCCAACATTTTACTGACTTCTGACTTTGAGGACAGAATCAATACCAAACATTTTACTGACTTCTGACTTTGAGGAAAGACTTGAATATCAAACATTTTACTGACTTCTGACTTTGAGGACAGACTTGAATATCAAACATTTTACTGACTTCTGACTTTGAGGACAGACTTCAATATCAAACATTTTACTGACTTCTGACTTTGAGGACAGACTTCAATATCAAACATTTTACTGACTTCTGACTTTGAGGACAGACTTGAATATCAAACATTTTACTGACTTCTGACTTTGAGGACAGACTTCAAAATCAAACATTTTACTGACTTCTGACTTTGAGGAAAGACTTCAATATCCAACATTTTACTGACTTCTGACTTTGAGGACAGAATCAATACCAAACATTTTACTGACTTCTGACTTTGAGGAAATACTTCAATATCCAACATTTTACTGACTTCTGACTTTGAGGACAGACTTGAATATCAAACAATTTACTGACTTCTGACTTTGAGGACAGACTTCAAAATCAAACATTTTACTGACTTCTGACTTTGAGGAAAGACTTCAATATCCAACATTTTACTGACTTCTGACTTTGAGGACAGACTTGAATATCAAACATTTTACTGACTTCTGACTTTGAGGACAGACTTCAAAATCAAACATTTTACTGACTTCTGACTTTGAGGAAAGACTTCAATATCCAACATTTTACTGACTTCTGACTTTGAGGACAGAATCAACACCAAACATTTTACTGACTTCTGACTTTGAGGAAAGACTTGAATATCCAACATTTTACTGACTTCTGACTTTGAGGACAGACTTGAATATCCAACATTTTACTGACTTCTGACTTTGAGGACAGAATCAATACCAAACATTTTACTGACTTCTGACTTTGAGGAAAGACTTGAATATCAAACATTTTACTGACTTCTGACTTTGAGGACAGAATCAATATCAAACATTTTACTGACTTCTGACTTTGAGGACAGAATCAATACCAAACATTTTACTGACTTCTGACTTTGAGGACAGACTTGAATATCCAACATTTTACTGACTTCTGACTTTGAGGACAGACTTCAATATCAAACATTTTACTGACTTCTGACTTTGAGGACAGACTTCAATATCAAACATTTTACTGACTTCTGACTTTGAGGACAGACTTCAATATCAAACATTTTACTGACTTCTGACTTTGAGGACAGACTTCAATATCAAACATTTTACTGACTTCTGACTTTGAGGACAGACTTCAATATCAAACATTTTACTGACTTCTGACTTTGAGGACAGACTTCAATATCCAACATTTTACTGACTTCTGACTTTGAGGACAGACTTCAATATCAAACATTTTACTGACTTCTGACTTTGAGGACAGACTTCAATATCCAACATTTTACTGACTTCTGACTTTGAGGACAGACTTCAATATCCAACATTTTACTGACTTCTGACTTTGAGGACAGACTTCAAAATCAAACATTTTACTGACTTCTGACTTTGAGGAAAGACTTCAATATCCAACATTTTACTGACTTCTGACTTTGAGGACAGAATCAACACCAAACATTTTACTGACTTCTGACTTTGAGGAAAGACTTGAATATCCAACATTTTACTGACTTCTGACTTTGAGGACAGACTTCAATATCCAACATTTTACTGACTTCTGACTTTGAGGACAGAATCAATACCAAACATTTTACTGACTTCTGACTTTGAGGAAAGACTTGAATATCAAACATTTTACTGACTTCTGACTTTGAGGACAGAATCAATATCAAACATTTTACTGACTTCTGACTTTGAGGACAGAATCAATACCAAACATTTTACTGACTTCTGACTTTGAGGACAGACTTGAATATCCAACATTTTACTGACTTCTGACTTTGAGGACAGACTTCAATATCAAACATTTTACTGACTTCTGACTTTGAGGACAGACTTCAATATCCAACATTTTACTGACTTCTGACTTTGAGGACAGACTTCAATATCAAACATTTTACTGACTTCTGACTTTGAGGACAGACTTCAATATCAAACATTTTACTGACTTCTGACTTTGAGGACAGACTTCAATATCAAACATTTTACTGACTTCTGACTTTGAGGACAGACTTCAATATCCAACATTTTACTGACTTCTGACTTTGAGGACAGACTTCAATATCAAACATTTTACTGACTTCTGACTTTGAGGACAGACTTCAATATCCAACATTTTACTGACTTCTGACTTTGAGGACAGACTTCAATATCCAACATTTTACTGACTTCTGACTTTGAGGACAGACTTCAATATCCAACATTTTACTGACTTCTGACTTTGAGGACAGACTTGAATATCCAACATTTTACTGACTTCTGACTTTGAGGACAGACTTGAATATCAAACATTTTACTGACTTCTGACTTTGAGGACAGACTTGAATATCAAACATTTTACTGACTTCTGACTTTGAGGACAGACTTCAATATCCAACATTTTACTGACTTCTGACTTTGAGGACAGACTTCAATATCAAACATTTTACTGACTTCTGACTTTGAGGACAGACTTCAATATCCAACATTTTACTGACTTCTGACTTTGAGGACAGACTTCAATATCCAACATTTTACTGACTTCTGACTTTGAGGACAGACTTCAAAATCAAACATTTTACTGACTTCTGACTTTGAGGAAAGACTTCAATATCCAACATTTTACTGACTTCTGACTTTGAGGACAGAATCAATATCAAACATTTTACTGACTTCTGACTTTGAGGACAGAATCAATACCAAACATTTTACTGACTTCTGACTTTGAGGACAGACTTGAATATCCAACATTTTACTGACTTCTGACTTTGAGGACAGAATCAATATCAAACATTTTACTGACTTCTGACTTTGAGGACAGACTTCAATATCCAACATTTTACTGACTTCTGACTTTGAGGACAGACTTCAATATCAAACATTTTACTGACTTCTGACTTTAAGGACAGACTTCAATATCAAACATTTTACTGACTTCTGACTTTGAGGACAGACTTGAATATCCAACATTTTACTGACTTCTGACTTTGAGGACAGACTTGAATATCAAACATTTTACTGACTTCTGACTTTGAGGACAGACTTCAATATCCAACATTTTACTGACTTCTGACTTTGAGGACAGACTTCAATATCAAACATTTTACTGACTTCTGACTTTGAGGACAGACTTCAATATCCAACATTTTACTGACTTCTGACTTTGAGGACAGACTTCAATATCCAACATTTTACTGACTTCTGACTTTGAGGACAGACTTCAAAATCAAACATTTTACTGACTTCTGACTTTGAGGAAAGACTTCAATATCCAACATTTTACTGACTTCTGACTTTGAGGACAGAATCAACACCAAACATTTTACTGACTTCTGACTTTGAGGAAAGACTTGAATATCCAACATTTTACTGACTTCTGACTTTGAGGACAGACTTGAATATCCAACATTTTACTGACTTCTGACTTTGAGGACAGACTTGAATATCCAACATTTTACTGACTTCTGACTTTGAGGACAGACTTGAATATCCAACATTTTACTGACTTCTGACTTTGAGGAAAGACTTGAATATCCAACATTTTACTGACTTCTGACTTTGAGGACAGAATCAATATCAAACATTTTACTGACTTCTGACTTTGAGGACAGAATCAATACCAAACATTTTACTGACTTCTGACTTTGAGGACAGACTTGAATATCCAACATTTTACTGACTTCTGACTTTGAGGACAGACTTCAATATCAAACATTTTACTGACTTCTGACTTTGAGGACAGACTTCAATATCCAACATTTTACTGACTTCTGACTTTGAGGACAGACTTCAATATCAAACATTTTACTGACTTCTGACTTTGAGGACAGACTTCAATATCAAACATTTTACTGACTTCTGACTTTGAGGACAGACTTCAATATCAAACATTTTACTGACTTCTGACTTTGAGGACAGACTTCAATATCCAACATTTTACTGACTTCTGACTTTGAGGACAGACTTCAATATCAAACATTTTACTGACTTCTGACTTTGAGGACAGACTTCAATATCCAACATTTTACTGACTTCTGACTTTGAGGACAGACTTCAATATCCAACATTTTACTGACTTCTGACTTTGAGGACAGACTTCAATATCCAACATTTTACTGACTTCTGACTTTGAGGACAGACTTCAATATCAAACATTTTACTGACTTCTGACTTTGAGGACAGACTTGAATATCCAACATTTTACTGACTTCTGACTTTGAGGACAGACTTCAATATCCAACATTTTACTGACTTCTGACTTTGAGGACAGACTTCAATATCCAACATTTTACTGACTTCTGACTTTGAGGACAGACTTCAATATCCAACATTTTACTGACTTCTGACTTTGAGGACAGACTTCAATATCCAACATTTTACTGACTTCTGACTTTGAGGACAGACTTGAATATCCAACATTTTACTGACTTCTGACTTTGAGGACAGACTTGAATATCCAACATTTTACTGACTTCTGACTTTGAGGACAGACTTCGATATCAAATATTTTACTGAGTCCTCGCTTTGAGGACAGCTTGAAATATCTGACATCTTATGTCACCAAAGAATTATTGCCCAACAAAAGTCTTCTGTAACACTTGCGATAGTGTATCCACTGATCTTAAATCTGTATTTAACTCTGTTGTCTCAATACAATGATAACTTGAACAATGTACATATTTTTAACAACTACTTACGAAAGTGTCTCATCCAACCATTCAATGGCCTTCTTGCGGACGTTTTTGTCCGGAAAATTGTAATCTAGCAACGAGAGAATACAGTCGACTGGAATTGGTCTCCAAGTCTGTAGAAGGGCTTGCATCTGTATAAACAAACAAAACCTTTTATACATATCAAGGCATACATGTACACGTACCAGCAGCTAGTAAGAAAAATTTGACCATATTTCATGTTTATAGTTTACAGCTTCAGTACAATTCAGGTTATAACACCTTCCACTTGTTAAATTCTTATATGACAGTGACATACAAAATATCACCAGGGTTTTCCATAATTTTGTTAGTAGTAGGCTGTGTAGTGAAAGTAGGAGGCTGGCCTGCCGTGTACGTGTAGTCGTGTATGGAACATTATTACGGAACTGGATTGGTGTAGGCGGCCAAATGATCAAAGTAGCCGGTCAAATTGGCCGGCGACCGGCTCTTATGGAAAACCCTGTATCACATATATTGACAGCAAAACATATTGAAGGTTGTATGTTTTGAAGGGGTTCATAAGATATGTTGTACACAAGCTTTTTATTTCAAAAGTAATCAACAGTGATATTTGACCTTTAACCTTGACTGATGACCACCAAAATCTTATCAGGTGTAGATATTGTATGGGTGATGCTATGGTGTGAATATGAACTGAATAAGTCCATGGATTCCTGAGACATTTTGTACACATGGTTATCACTTATACACACATGCATGGACTTATGCAGATGGATGCACCAATAATGATGAATATATACTGCCTCTTCCCTAAGTGTGGATATAATACTGAACAAAGTACACCATTACCTTGGCAACATCCTTGTAAGTGTACCATTTCACAGATGACAGAAGTTGAGGAAGTGCCTGCGGATAGTTGTCGCGACACTCATACCGCAGAAGCCACATTAAGTCTTTGTCCTGTTCTGCCAGTTGACAAGTGTTGGTTGAGTCAGTTTCCAGGATCTGTTGAAGGTGGATGAGGTGGGAGTTACTCGGATGCCATGTCTGAAAGTCCAAGATATACAAACTGTATGTACACTTCACGGTTTATCACAATTAATCCTTATACTCTATTGTATAAATAAGACCAATATTTTTTGGCAAATGTTAACTTAAAGCCGCTAAGGTAATTATCTACATGAAGAACCCTATGACAATACCTGAGAGAGTAAGTCTATAAATTGAATTAATAATGAAAACCACTTTCTGCTAATATCAACATCCAGATGTATCCATTGTATGGTTATAATCATGCTGTATCATATTTCAACATTACTTTATTCAAAGAATGATGAGAAGAGAATACACTCTTACAGAGAAAAAAGAAGACAAACTTGCAATTCCTGAGTGAACCTATTTTATTTGATAGGCTTAGTGTTCGCTATCATGGCATTTTAGCCTTTCACCAAGACTAATTCTATTCACAGTATACAAATTTACTAAAGTCCCACAATACAAATTTACAGGTCAGGACATCCAGAATATTACTGAAGACCTAGAAAATGAATTTATTTAAGACACAGAATTATAACTTATTCCAGGACTTCAATATAAACCTTCTGGAGACCCAGAATACAAACTTGTTGAGTTCCGAAAACAACTTTTAAGAGTTTCAGAATACAGACAGTATTGAAGACCCAAAGTATAAACTTACAGGAGAGCCAAGGCTATCTGGATCCTCCATGTTGTCACTGGCACATTGCAGTACCTGTAATATATCAGAAATTACATTGTCTATTACTGAGGTGTATCCTTGATATCTCTGTTATAATCATGCTGGTATTAGTTTAGGTTTAAACTGACCACATACCTAGAGGGCTTCATACATGAAGGTAACGTGTTGTTGATGAGATTGAACTTGGGACTTTCCAATCCTGGTCCACAACCCATGTCACGTAGAAAATCTTTAAAACTTTAAACTACATGGTTCTTGATTCTTAGCTTTACTTTAGGCTAATACAGTGGAAAACACTTAAAATCTTGTTCTATTTGTCAGTGGGAAATGTGACAATAAACAGAACATGATATTAACAGTTTTACTTTGTATGTCTCAATCAGGAAGTTGACTTTCTGATACCCAAAACAAACATGTTCTACTCTAAAAATTATATCTATGCACAGATATTAAGATTCCTTTCTCTAAGAAGACCAGCAGAACTGGAAAATGTCTATGTAAGGCATGAACATCTCCATTCCTATGAAATACAACCAGGGGTAGAACATTGATGTTATGATGCTATGGGGTAAGTGTGAATCAGAATCTGATCAAGTGTAGAACATGATGTTATAATACTATAGGGTAAGTGTGAACCAGATGATGATCAGGTGGAGAACATGTTATAACACTATGGGTAAGTGTGAACCAGAAGATGATCAGGTGGAGAACAAAATCTTATAATACAATAGGGGTTTGTGTTAACTTGAATCTGATCAAGTGTAGAACATGATGTTATAATACTATAGGGTAAGAGTGAACCAGAAGATGATCAGGTGGAGAACATGTTATAACACTATAGGGTAAGTGTGAACCAGATGATGATCAGGTGGAGAACATGTTATAACACTATAGGGTAAGTGTGAACCAGATGATGATCAGGTGGAGAACATGTTATAACACTAATAATAGAAGATGATCAGGTGGAGAACAAAATCTTAATAAATGTCAACACAATCATGACATTTTGTGTTGTTTATTGTCTACATGTTTTGGCCTGCAATGTGGTCATTTGCAGGACTAAGATATGTGAAGGCTGACGCCTTGGCCCAACGACTTCGATATAGGACTTCCACATGGTCCAAGGACTTCCACATGGCCCAAGGACTTCCAAATGGCCCAAAAGAGTTCCACATGGTCCAAGGACTTCAACATGGTCTAAGGACTTCCACATGGCCAAAATACTTATGGCATTAGTAGGACAATGGAGTAAATTATAAGGACCCAAATCTGTTCTCCAGATATGACAAAAATTTGGAATGGGACATAACAGAACAGGACCAAAAGTGATGTTACAAACTTATATGGGTAACATGAAAAGTAGGATGTTGAATGTTACTACACAATGAACTTTTGTTATGCTTTTCGTCCACTTACCTCTTTGTCTGATGGGAATATGATGGGGACTGCCCTATTAAAGTTTGGGACTGTGATTGCTATGACTGTAGCATCTTCAGGATTCTGGGAAACAGCCCCTGCAAGTGAAGATTGAGAAACATAAATCACTCTAATAAATGTGTGCCTCTGATAGCAGAGAGCATGCAATCCTAATGGCACAAGTGGCCTCCATGCTAAAGATAATGGTTTACAATTAATGGGTACAAAGGGATAGAGACACACACTCAAGTTAATCCTAGTGAAGGTCTACGGACACACACCCGAGTTAATCCTAGTGAAGGTCTATGGACACACACCCGAATTAATCCTAGTGAAGGTCTACGGACACACACCCGAGTTAATCCTAGTGAAGGTCTACGGACACACACCAGAGTTAATCCTAGTGAAGGTCTACGGACACACACCCGAGTTAATCCTAGTGAAGGTCTACGGACACACACCCCAGTTAATCCTAGTGAAGGTCTACGGACACACACCCCAGTTTATCCTAGTGAAGGTCTACGGACACACACCCGAGTTAATCCTAGTGAAGGTCTACGGACACACACCCGAGTTAATCCTAGTGAAGGTCTACGGACACACCCGAGTTAATCCTAGTGAAGGTCTACGGACACACCCGAGTTAATCCTAGTGAAGGTCTACGGACACACCCGAGTTAATCCTAGTGAAGGTCTACGGACACACACCCGAGTTAATCCTAGTGAAGGTCTACGGACACACACCCGAGTTAATCCTAGTGAAGGTCTACGGACACACACCAGAGTTAATCCTAGTGAAGGTCTACGGACACACACCCGAGTTAATCCTAGAGAAGGTCTACAGACACACACCCAAGTTAATCCTAGAGAAGGTCTACAGACACACACCCGAGTTAATCCTAGTGAAGGTATATAACTATGAAACATCTATTCAGTATTCAATATATCAGTTTCTACATACAAACTAATCGTTTATAAACTTAAAAGGTGTGAATCTTAATAACATTATCCAAAATATGAACCTCGAAGTAAATCCACAGGAACATGTAAGAACCAGAGGCCATTATTGATAGCAAAAATGTGTTTATCATGCCTACTACTTCAAGGAGATGAGGCCTTATAAGAGTGTTATCACCAAGCAATGGAGTCTACTGTGCAAAACCATATAATGTGCATTTATCTGTCATTATCCTGGTTTGGATATTACACGACAGACAATGCATGCAAAGAACAGCACAAGTAAGGATGTCATGATTTATATTGACAATACAATAAGACTGACATTCAATGGTTATATTTACATCTCAGACATTTTTTAAAGCATATCATGTCTAAATCAAAATCATTTTTCTCCTTGTATGTTTACATACTGGAAAAGCTTTTAGAAAATCCTAATTAGCTAGGTAATTAACATAAATCTATAATGTTGACATTGGTCAACATGTCGCCAAAATATATCACATATATTGCCCCTGGTCCAGACTGCATCTACACTTCCGTGAATGAAATCCAGTTTAACACTGGATTCATGGGAGGCCATTATGCAAAATGTAGATACAGTGAAACATAGTAGCACTCACCCATTGGATAAAAGTTTTCATCTTGTTGTTGATGATCAGATCTTCCCCACATGGAGAACTTATAATCTCCCCTCATCAGCCTCGACTTGTAGTTAAACAGAGGGACATTTACCCATGCTATCAGAGTGTTTTCCTACAACAAGTGATCATGAACAGCCATCTTTTAAAAGGTATAGAAGAGATTGTATTTGGAGTTCACTAAACCAATCTATTACGCATGCGCAATGTGTTACATTAGAATCAGTTTGTTTTATTGCTTAAAGACTTAAGGCAGGGACTTTCCTACTTGATTTTTAAAGCAGTCTTTGTTTAACAGTTACAATCCATAATCTATTATCTGCATGCTTTACAATATAGTTAATCCATTACATAATAAACTGACTATGTGATTAATGTTTAAAGAAAGTGAATGCATTCTCTGTTGAACTAATCACTTTTTGTAACTTTAACCTAGAATTCCTCACTTACCTAGAATTAGCATAAAAATGAATATTATTGGCAACACCCATTTTCATGATGTGTAATATAAATTTTTGTTTTTGCTAAAGCACAAGACAATATGAAGGTTCATTGATAAATTATGACAAGAGGTCCAGGAGCCTAAATGGTCACCTGAATGAACTGACAATCTGAAGTATTGGAATGAAAGTGTAGTAAAGAGAATAGAAAATGAGAATTGCTATTTGTTCAGGGACAGAGGAGTTTAACTTTGAGACCCTTCATCCATGAAGAGTATTAGATTCTACCATATTTGGGTTTAGAGAAGAAGACTTTTTAAATTACAGTAAATTTGGCCCATTTTGGCGACACCCATCAGCCCCTGGGGTCAGCCAGGATGAAAATATGCATAACATCAAACTGTCATCCTAAACTAATTTACAATTCTGGTTATCCTTTGGCCATAGAAGATTTCCGCCAAGTTTAATTGAAAATGGGTCACAGGTTCCCAGTAGAAGTAAAAAATGTGAAAATTAACGGACACACGACTGACACCAGACAACGGAAGCTGGCTGACTGACTACGAACGATGCAAACAAAAGAATATCCCATATATATTGACATTGTCTCAGGTGACCTAAAATGTTGCAATCGATCTTTGCATCAAATGAGATTCTTAATTTTTCTTCTCTTCGGGAAAAAAACCTAGTTTTGACTGAAAAAAAATACTTTAAAATAAAAAGCCGTTGTAACAAAGTGGATCCCAGGTATACATCATTTTTTCATTACTGGAATCATTGCTGCAAGAGCAATTGAATATTTAAAATAAGGCTTTTAAACATCAAACAGTCACTGACCTTGCCTTTACGTCCATGGAGAGCCATGCAGAGACGACACATATGGGGGATTTCTCTAACCTCTGTCTTGAAAACCATTTCTTGGTTCCAGGTACACTGGCTGTCCGAGATGACCATATCTTCTGTACTTTGTGTCTCCAGTGACTCGGGGCCATAAAACAGTCCAGCATAAAACTTCACCTGTCGTGGAAAACATATTAACAATCATTCTCGGTCTAATTTACCTTATAAGTAACAGTGGAACAACATAGTTACGATTTGTTCATGCTGAGTCTAAATCTAACATAATTAAGTAACAGAGAGTCACTAAAATTAATCCTTCCTCCTAATAGTACTTCAACAGAACAGTTTTAATGTTGCCAAAACTTTAAATCAGAATAACATAAACTATTTATTGTGAAGTTGTTTTTATGTAGGTGGTTGGGACAACACTAAATTGCATTCAATGTGTGATTGGTGCAATTACAAATTGAATTATATAAGTGACTGGTCAAACGAGGAAAAGATTTAATTGTGGGTGTTAAACTTTATACAGAAAAATAGGATTTTGTGGATCAAACAATGTAGTTATTTTTATTTTTAAAGAGATCGAAATTAAATTGTCAGTTTATTCTTCCAAATGCATGTTTGTTTCTGATCCAATCATTCATGGGAGATAACTTGTGCTGATTTTTAAACTCTTTCGGGATACAAGAACTAATGCAACTTCGAAAAAAAAAAAAACTCAATTATACAGTTATTAAACTGATCTTTTTTTGTAACCACTATAAATTGTTAGGAATTTAAAGGACTTTCATCAATAAGAACTATTTGAATGTTAGAACCACTTGATACTCACCTTATTTCCATTTGGAATCTCTATATTTTTGGCATACTGTAGTTTGAAGGCAAAGGGCTCAGGTACATGCCACACAGATACAGGAGGTTTGATGGATGGGGATAAATTTGAGCCTGCTGAGGGACGTGCCGGGATGCTTGGGCGTGGTCGACTAACTGTCTCACTTCTCTCTGCATGGAAAACAAAACATGATCGTGTACATATTGCAGGTAATCTATGTTATCCTGGAAACAAACTGTGTACCGACAGTTATCCTTAATGAACTTCATTGTAATTCCATTCTTTTTCTCTTTCTGTTTTAGTGCCTACCCTTTATAAATGTAAGCTTCATCCCAATTTCTATTTTGTGTCATTTCCTTTATAAATTTCCCAATTTCTATCTAGTGTCATTTCCTTTATAAATTTCCCGATTTCTATCTTGTGTCATTTCCTTTATAAATTTCCCGATTTCTATCTTGTGTCATTTCCTTTATAAATTTCCCAATTTCTATCTAGTGTCATTTCCTTTATAAATTTCCAAATTTCTATCTTGTGTCAATTCCTTTATAAATTTCTCAATTTCTATCTTTTTATAAACTTTATACAAACATTTTTTAGAAATATAATTACCTAGTACATCATCTTTACTTTGTAACAGGAAAGCTGGAGCCTCGTTCTTCATTATACAGTCATTCACATACTAAAATAGAATGTTTTAACTTCAAAGACATTCTTTCTTCTATCTCATGAAATATGGATACTATTTTAAAGTATATCATTGTACAAAGAAATATTACATGTATTACCATTTAGGTTTAAATTTAAAACAAGAGACCCCAGAGGGATCTTGGCACCCTGATCAACCATTGTTTGATTATAGCTTTCCTTTTTTCTCTTCTTTCACATTTTTGTCTTTAATTATATGACACTTAAAATTCTCTCAAGAAATAGTGATAATAATCTTTATTAAATAAAAATAATATCAAATCCAAGATGGCCACCTGTCACCCATTTTGTTCTTCTGATCAGTCTCAAAAACACAAGGGCACAACTAGGGACTAGTGGAAACCTTCATATGAAATTTGAGAAAGATCTATCTTGAACTTCTCAAGAAATAGAAATAAGAATTTTAAGGATGGGCAAACAACTGTCATAGGGCGATTTGACAAGCCAACAATCTAATGATGAAAAATCTAATATCTAAGTACAGAAAACAATGATCTATTGTTTTTTATATTCCTCTTACATATTGTCACACAATGAACAATAACACTGCCATTGTTCTGTTTCCCTCACTGGAAATTCATACAATTCTTCCTCAAAGGTGCAGACAGAGACACTTCCTACCTTATACTGCACCAGACGCTGCTCCCCATAGATGTAATCAGACAGTCCAACAGCCTTGAGGAGATAACTGTCGGGGACACGACCCTGTTTCCCAGTCTTATTCGCCCATTTGCTCAAAGCCTGCTCAATCAGCTGTGTAGGACTACTTGCAACTGATTCTTTCATCATGAAGGATATTTGGTTCTGCTCAAAGTCAATAAAATGATTTAGATAAATTTCCAGGAGACACTTAAATAATAATAGTTCTCATTATTTAAATTCAGCACCAATTAAACAAGAGAATCTTTAAGAAAAAAATACTATCTTTTAGAGTACAACTGATTTGTATATGCTTTGTACATAAACTCTTTGCCACATTGAAGCAAAGTATGTCGTAATATTTACATCTAATAAAACCTGATTATAAATTGTGTATGCTGAGTAAATATGTTGTATGATGGTAAGATATCCTGACAGATAAAAAGTACTTTACTTTGTTGTTAAATAATATCAACATTCCATATAAATACAAACCCCAGATGGCTCCTCCACATACACTGTTAGAACAAGGCCTTCCTGCATTACCTCCCTTCCACTGTCAGAGACACCTGTATCGGTCAGTCGAAGGGGATGCTTGATCATGAAAGCTTGCCAGCCCTGTCAACGCAGAAGCATTTTTATCCTCATCAAAATTTTGATTATATGAATTGAATTCTTCTTATAGAATAAAATATATTTTTATGACAAGAGGTTTTTCTATCATGATCAAAGGTTAATGGCTGCAATATATTTACCAAATAAGGAAGTCAACAAGTAAGTCATTGATAAAAAAAACCCAGAATGTTTGGCTACATAGCTCATTTTTGGTTTTTTGTAAAGAAACACTCCTGTTAACAATGGCACACCTAACATTGCTGTCAGAAGAAGTTTAGAATATTATGGGGTGTCAATAACAAATCTCTTCAGCATTTTGGAGTGATTTACCTTTCTGTACTATACAGTACACATATTTTTTTTATATTTTTTCTCTTCTACATCAGAAATCTATAAATGACGCATTGAATTTTACTCATATACCATATCTTATGTAAATTTTGCTTGAGCTCATCAAAGCCATTTGAGGTATGTAACTGTTATATATATATCATGAAGGCTCTTTATAATGTATGAAAATAAATTGTTTTAAGAATCAAGTTTCCTAGAGCAAGAATTGGATTATTTTATGTTCCAATGTCCTTTTTATTATGAGAAATCATGTTCCTTAATTTCAAAGAACACCAATGATAAGAAATTTCATTAACAAATATATCTTCTTCAGAAATTCAGTTTCAAATGAAATATTTCAATTGTTATCCAAAGTCCTAAACTCATTAAATTTATGCAGAAAAACAGCAGGATTAGTTATCACAGGACTGAGTTGAAGTAAAATTGCGGACATGTTATATGGTATACAGTCGACCCTGGATAATCCTGATTACAAGTTTTCAAGTCTGATGAGCTTAGTCTACCGGCAAAAAACACCAAGCTTATCTCCCTTGATTACATAACAATAAAGCTATAAGTCTGATGTTGCTGCTTGTTTTCTGAATATCTATGTAGTAATTACTGAATATACAGGTATTTATAAAAGTTTTTTACTGTCTTATTATGTTTCATTCACATTAAATAAATAAAATATTGAAATTAACAAAATGAAAGCTGTTGATAGCGTTTTAAGTCAAATATCGCTGACAATTCATCGAATGTTATTTAAAAATATCTAATAAACTATGTTATCTGAATATGATATGCACTGCTTATGAATATATGTGTATTTTGACACAAAGTAACAAATATCTAGAATATTTGGGGAATATTATTATAAAAATCAATTCCACTCCAAAAAGTTCTTTCCCAAACCAGATATCCAATTTCCAGACTGGCTAGTACAATGGACTTTGTTGAAATCTGTTTCCCAAAGTTTTCATCTGGATTGTAAACCTTCCAAACTGACAGCATTCTGATTATTACAATTCAGCTGTAGATGTATATTGCATGTTTTAACTGATTTCCTTGTTACCAGAAATTTTCAGTGACCCTGACATACCGACTGGTCCTCGTTTCTATTACAAGTAGTTTCATTGCCAACAATCTGCATTTTCAATCTAAAATCTGCTATTTCAGGGGCTTGCTGTGCTTCAATTATCTGCATTGCTGAAACAGATGCAATATGTATATAATCAAATGTGCACTTTAATTTCACAGTCTAAATATTGAAAGAGAGTCACTCCATTAAATTATGATTTCCTTGGAAACAAACTTCAGTCAATGAACCTTGATAGTGATGGCAAGTATTCACAGTATTACACAACTCATTCATTTTTGATGTAAACCTTTTATTCCATGGTAAATGTTAGAGATGTAAAACCTGAGCTCCACTAAAAATACATGTACAGATTTTCAAGTGGAATTTTGGGAGTTGAAAAAATGATAAAGTAAATCAAAATACTTTTCTTAGCATGAAAATTGCCTATTTATGAGGCAACTCTCAAAACAAATCCCCCCACCCCACTCCTCTTTTTTTTTCATCTAAATTTATGAAATTGTTCAGCTGTTAAAAAGTCAAAATCTCACTGAGAAAATAGCTGCAATATCTTTTGCAGATGAGAAGGTTAGTCAGATTTTAAGCAGGGCTCTGCCTTACCTCTTGAGCCTATTAGGTGGGATTTTTGTCGATCCAGAGTTCGTTTTGGGTCATTAGATTGCTTCTGTATGACCTTGAGGAACCTTACTGAAGGTCGAATGTCATTCAAGCTCATGTCTTCATCTATTACTTCATCCTAAAATACATAACACTTTGATCAATTTCAATTATATTTTTCTGGTTTGCTAAAAAAGAAATTAGTAACTGAATTCTAATAATCTTAAGCCAAGTAAGAGACATATACCTTATGTCCAGTACAGTTAGAGATATTTACCATATGTCCAGTACAGTTAGAGATATTTACCATATGTCCAGTACAGTTAGAGGTATTTACCTTCTGTCCAGTACAGTTAGAGATATTTACCATATGTCCAGTACAGTTAGAGATATTTACCATATGTCCAGTACAGTTAGAGATATTTACCATATGTCCAGTACAGTTAGAGATATTTACCATATGTCCAGTACAGTTAGAGGTATTTACCATATGTCCAGTACAGTTAGAGATATTTACCATATGTCCAGTACAGTTAGAGGTATTTACCATATGTCCAGTACAGTTAGAGATATTTACCATATGTCCAGTACAGTTAGAGGTATTTACCATATGTCCAGTACAGTTAGAGATATTTACCATATGTCCAGTACAGTTAGAGATATTTACCATATGTCCAGTACAGTTAGAGATATTTACCATATGTCCAGTACAGTTAGAGATATTTACCATATGTCCAGTACAGTTAGAGGTATTTACCTTCTGTCCAGTACAGTTAGAGGTATTTACCATATGTCCAGTACAGTTAGAGATATTTACCATATGTCCAGTACAGTTAGAGATATTTACCATATGTCCAGTACAGTTAGAGATATTTACCATATGTCCAGTACAGTTAGAGGTATTTACCATATGTCCAGTACAGTTAGAGATATTTACCATATGTCCAGTACAGTTAGAGGTATTTACCTTCTGTCCAGTACAGTAAGAGATATTTACCTTCTGTTCAGTACAGTTAGAGATATTTACCATATGTCCAGTACAGTGAGAGGTATTTACCTTCTGTCCAGTACAGTTAGAGGTATTTACATTCTGTCCAGTACAGTTAGAGATATTTACCTTCTGTCCAATACTGATAGAGAAATTTACCTTCTGTCCAGTACAGTTAGAGATATTTACCTTCTGTCCAGTACAGTGAGAGGTATTTATCTTATGTCCAGTACAGTGAGAGGTATTTACCTTCTGTCCAGTACAGTTAGAGGTATTTACCTTCTGTCCAGTACAGTTAGAGATATTTACGTTATGTCCAGTACAGTAAGAGATATTTACCTTCTGTCCAGTACAGTGAGAGGTATTTACCTTCTGTCCACTACAGTAAGAGGTATTTAACTTCTGTCCAGTACAGTAAGAGGTATTTACCTTCTGTCCAGTACAGTTAGAGATATTTACCTTCTGTCCAGTACAGTTAGAGGTATTTACCTTCTGTCCAGTACAGTAAGAGATATTTACCTTCTGTCCAGTACAGTTAGAGATATTTACCTTCTGTCCAATACTGATAGAGAAATTTACCTTCTGTCCAATACTGATAGAGATATTTACCTTCTGTCCAGTACATTAAGAGATATTTACCTTCTGTCCAGTACAGTAAGAGATATTTACCTTCTGTCCAGTACAGTAAGAGATATTTACCTTCTGTCCAGTACAGTTAGAGGTATTTACCTTCTGTCCAGTACAGTTAGAGATATTTACGTTATGTCCAGTACAGTAAGAGATATCTACCTTCTGTCCAGTACAGTTAGAGGTATTTACCTTCTGTCCAGTACAGTTAGAGATATTTACGTTATGTCCAGTACAGTTAGAGGTATTTACCTTCTGTCCAGTACTGATAGAGATATTTACCTTTTGTCCTGTACAGGTAGATATATGCTTTCTCTCGTACTTTTACCTTCTGCCTTCTGTCCAGCATTGTCAGGTAATTTACCTTTTGTCCTGTACAGGTAGATATATGCTTTCTCTCGTACTTTTACCTTCTGTCTTCTGTCCAGCATTGTCAGGTAATTTACCTTTTGTCCTGTACAGGTAGATATATGCTTTCTCTCGTACTTTTACCTTCTGCCTTCTGTCCAGCATTGTCAGGTAATTTACCTTTTGTCCTGAATTGTTGATGAAGATGAAGGAATATGACTGATGCTTGCCGACTGCCTTGAACAATGGATAGCTTGCTGCCTCCTTCCATAGCCTCTGTAATATTTGAAAGAATAACACAATAAGCCAATTACTTCACAGGTCTTAAATTTTTGCTCTCAGTATTTGACAAAAAATTCTGATTTCTGGTCATTGTTTATGAATATATTTAAACATTTTCTTATAAGTTTTGCATGAGAATTCATTACCAAATAACTGCATATTCATGAATTTAATACAAGCGAAGATTTATTGGAACCAAATGAAAACATGAGCCAACTGCAATCAATTTAAACTATCTTTCAAAAAGAACTTGTGCACGGGAGCATAATTAATTGGGGGGAAATGTTATTTAGCTGTATCGCATGATTTTCTGTTACAGTATTTACCCTTTTCACTATTTCAAGTGAATCATAAAAGTTGACCTTCAGGGGAATGAAGATCCCATTCGGCATCAAAAAATCAATTTCCACATATTCGTCATCTCTGACCTCTGACACAATGTCAAGGTCAGGCACAACGACAATAGGTGGCATGGTAAGGTCCTAGGGTGCCATCTCCATCATTCCAACAACCTGTATAAAAATGAAAGATAGCCAATATACATTTACAGATACTTTTTCAACATATTACGTGCAAAAAATTGAACAACTCTTGTATGCAAAACAAAAGATCCCAGAGATCGGGACACCCACCATTGTTTGAACTTTATTAAGGTATTTACAAGTTGGAAGTTGGATCTTTTATCTCTTCTGTCCTACTTTCCTCATATTTGCTCTCCAATATATTTTGTATTATAAGTGAATGTGGGTCCATGTGGAGCACAACTGACAGGACCAAGGCAGTGATAAACCCTGAAGGGAGACAAGGGGCCCTGATCCCCTCAAAACTGAAAATGTCACTTGTGAGGTTTTTTTTTTTTCTCCGTATTTTTTTTAGCTTTATATGGGATGGTCCACATTATTTGACTGAAAGTGACCTATCGGTCCTAGCTTCCAGGGTTTTACCTTCAATCTACAGAAATATACAAACAATACATCAAAACCTTTGTGGAAGAAAAGCAGAAATTACAAATTTAACTCTCTAAAGCCAAGGTGGCAACTTGCAACCATTTTGTCTCTCTAGTCAGATTCAACATTAAAAAGGTATTACAAGGGACCAATATAAAGTCTGACAAATATCACAGAAAGACCAAGAAAAACCTACATGAAATTCAGGAAAGATTAATCCAGCACTTCTTTTGAAATAACAACATTTTGATATCCCAGTGAAAGCCCTGAAAGTCAAAATTCAAAATGGCTCTCTATCAGTCATTTTGTTTTTTCAATTAATTCCAAAAGCATAAGAACATTACTATGAACATACAAAATCTGAGAGACCTATCATAAAGTTTCAGTTTTAAAATCCAATATGACCACAAAAATTTTATTTATCTAAACAGACTCAAAATTGAAAGGCCAATACCATAGACCAGGCCAAGAGAAACATCTAGCACTTTTCAAGAAATAGTGATAACAATAAATGTTATGGAGGGACAGCAGATGGACAGAAACTGGGTGATTTGAAAAACACTTGTACCATCAGATTGGATGGTGAACTGGTTTTTTTATAAAATATACAAATCATAACAATTAATTCCTGTATAATTAAAAAAACACTAAAATCTTTGTACACAAGAGTATCAGTGTCACTGATGTATGCTTCCAAAAAATACTTTGACACAAAATTTTAACAAAGAACAATAATTCTGAAATCAAGTGGTTTCAGGCATTGGATTTGGAACACCATATATCCTCTTAGTGTGACCAATGTATCCACCAAGTTTCATTACCCCAGACATAATATAGGCAAAATTATGCTCCCAACACAAAATTTATACGTAGAGCAATAACTCTTTAATTAACATAGGTGCATTGAACACCATCTTTGTACACCAAGTTTCATTATCCTAGGTTAAATAAAAGCAAAGTTAGCTCTGGAAACTGTGAGCCCTAAATTTGGTATAGTACACATTGTCTTAGTATGATTAAAGTATACACCTAGTTTCATAATCCTAGCTTTAATGCAAGCAATTTAAAGTTGATCCCTGGAAAAGAAATTTAAATAATGGACAATAATTCTGTAATTAAGGAGTTTCAAGCCCTCTACCATAAATACAAGCTCTGGACACAAAATTTTATCAAAGGGCAACAACTCTGTAATTAAGGGGTCAAGGGCCGTGAATTTGGTATGCTGCACATCACCTTAGTATGATCAATTTATACACCAAGTTTCATGATCCTGCTTCACTGTAGGCAAAGTTATTCTCTGGACAAAAGGACGGACACAGTGGTGACTTTCTGCTCTCCCTAAAAATTTTTGGGAGCAGAACAATTGTCTGTGGTACAGAACAACATCAAAATTACTGGTATTATGTCATAAGATGTAGCAAAAAACTTGTTCAAAATATCAGATTAAAAACAACTCTCTAATTATTGTTAACAACTTGATCAAAACACAACAAGCAAACCATGTATGTTATACACTAAAACATTATACACAGCTAAAGTATGTTCACAACCTTATCAGTTATAGCCTGAATGTTAAACACTTGTATTGCCACGGTAGAGAACTGCGAAAACTCGTTTCCTGAAGTGAAGCTGAACTATATGTAGCTTCCCATTATGATGATAAGTAACAAACCTATATATTAACCTTAAAACTGTAAACATTGTTTATTGTAAAACTACTGACTAACAAGTATTTACCACATCTCTTCTAGCTTGTTGGCTCCAACATAAACACATGACACAGGAGTCTTTCAGAAAAAACCCATGGGGTTGGTGAACCCACACCTTAATTTTCATGTCAAATTGGAAAATTAAACATCAGTTGCCCCAGAATCCATTATGCGGACTGATACAAAGGACATATATTGCTTACTTTGTTATTCATCATAATGCAGTGTGCATCAAAGGCCAATTCTAAATCCATTCAAACAAGCTAAATGTCATCAATGTTTTCATCATGTAATTTTTAAAAATATTACTTTAAATGAGTTTAATTTTACTTCATTAGTTTATTACCAGTGTTTACGCTCTCTGTGAAAACCTATCATCGACCTCTAAACAAATGAGTGATGATATAAAATTTTGAAAATATATTGACCAATCAACTAATCAAACTAATAAGGTGCTGTATTTTATTTACAACACATTGAAATCCAAAGAGTTTTTTCTATCTAGATGCCAATGAAGCAAAAGTTGAAATACGTGGTTCAACAGCTCATACTCAATATCACAGAGTATGTACACCATTTTGGTGTTTAAAAGCCCAAGCCAGAACATTAGATGATGCATATCAGAAGTTACATGATGCAAAAAGTGTTTTCACTAGGTTTTTTCCTTTCAAAATGCAATGGTTCAAATTAAAAATATCAAATGATTTCAAATTAGATCATTTAATATCATTCTGCACACTTATGGAAAAATTGTAACTGGCAGTATTTCCATACTTGTGATATATGATGTCTCAGCTGAATTAACCTCATACACTTCATAAATTTTCCTGGTTTGTCTACACAACTCAAATGAATGCAAAACTTGTTAGTGAAAACTCCCAGCATCAGACAAATGGATTTTTACATCCATGTGTATTAACCAGGATTAATATTCATCACAAATTTCATGTATCAAAATTCATAAGTTACTTACCGAAATCTGATCAAAGCAATTTTCACGAGATCAAAAAGCATTTGTATCTTGGTATATGGACCCATGACTGAGTCAAATGTTAAGTGTAGTATCAAATCTTCTATATATTGTACACATATCATGTTTACAAGGATGTTCAATGGTGACCAACTCTGATAATAACCGGATGTGTACAGTTTTATGTAGTGTGACGGTCTCCATTCCACAGAGACATTACAAACATGCACTTAAGGCTATATACTTAAACTATACACACAATAATAATACAATGAATCTACATCATATGAACCTACATAACATTCAGTTCAACAACAAATTGATGTTATAATTCTCATAAATATGTATCCAACCTGTTCTGGTCCAAATTGAGTCCAAAAATGACAATTCATCTGGAAACCTTAGTTTTTTCCTGTTGACGCGGACAAAAATAATTAACAAAAAAGAAGTATTACCAGAAATAAAAGGGCGGGTCTTCCGATTTCCTGAAGAGGACTACTTTACATAGAAAAACTGTAAATGAACCTTCTTCCAGCTAGCCTTCCAGCATGTTTCTAACATTTCCATGGAAACCCAATGATACAAACTCAGTTTGACCCTGTCTTAATTGCACATTCCTAAGATTAAACTTAAGATATGACAAAAATATCTGGCAAGTAAACAATGACTGTCATCATCTGATTAAAATTCAGGAAGACTTCCTTATTGATACAGTTACTTACAGTAGAGGACTATGACCTGCCCGAGACCATGACCTTGTTAAAACTGACCAATAGGACAATGTGATACAGCATAGTACAGATAATGTTATGGAGTACAGGAACTTCATCATTACATGTTAACATAAATAAACTTGGTTTCATAAATCTTAAAGTCAATTAATATTTTTAAAGTCACCTTTCATCACTAAATCAAAATACATATTAACTTTTAAATCATCACAGGGCTCTCACACCCCATTTTGGAACTGGGGCCCGGGGCCCGGGGCCCTTAGAATTGGGAAAAATAATGGTGTTTTCCTTAGAACTGGGAAATCTTCGGGTCTACATAGGGAAAAAAAGATACTATTTTGCATTGGGAATTCAGCCCCAAATCTGGCAGATCGAGAGCCCTGCATCAAATCTGAACAACTGAGGTTAATGTAAATGGCCTGTGGACACTTCATAAGGAAGATGTATGAATTAGTTTGTTGCATAAACAAACACTGTTCCTGTCTTATCTGATTAGTAATATCTTCCTCATATCAGCTCAGTGTACTCAGTAACAACCAGTGTGGTTAACTTACCAAACCATTAACACAAAATTTTGGATACAATAGGTCCTGACCACCTCCATGAACTTTTACATATATTTCCTTAAGCGTCTGTGCTTTCACATTCAAAATTGTTTTAGAGTTTACAAAAAATTCTGAAGCTAAGAATATTTATGGTTTTGAAATTCTTGCCTATCTGTGTGGAAAGGTGAGGTTTTTTTTTTTATTGAATTCCTGATTTTCTAAAATTTGGGAAGTTATTCAACACAATTTCCCGACCTAAACATTATTAATCAATATCCGCTTTTAAAAAAATGATTTTTCCAACAGATTTTCTATTTTATATCAATCCATTTGGTATCATGTTGTCAAGCAGAAAATATTTGTGCACTTTTCTTCCCATAAATATACTGACAAATTGACAAGGATGTTGTTGGGAAGTTAACAGCATTACATGCAAACAATGTATGATTTATCAGTTAAATATAGGTAAATAAATAAACTTGTCTCTAACTACTATATATAACTCCTGAATCACCTAATCAGCTACTAATGTACTGATAATGTAATTTTATATCTCACTAGTATTTCATTA